TTATATATACAGACACAGTGCTAAATAAAACATCTATATTTCTGTCGACTTATAAAGGGATAAAGAAGGAATTTTCAATCTCTTATGCTCTCTTCTACCTTCCTCCTACTTCCCTGTGTGGCTATATTAAATTCTACTTTTCTATTTATTTTGTGATCAAGTAATGATCCTTACTTCGTGTATTGCTGTTTCTTTGTATTTATACAAGTAAATCTTCCTATATCTTCAGTAGATGGTTGTATGGGAATGACATTATGGAATCTTTAATTTCTACTTTGTATATTTCTGAATTGTTTGAATGGTTTTAAGAGCAGGCATATAAGCATTTACTAAAATCAATACAAATATTTTCACTTTAAAAATAAAACAAAAAACAAGACAGCACGACAAGGTGAAGATTGTATGATTCCACCTGTACTAGGCCTCTAGAGCAGTCAAATTCATACAGACAGAAAGCGGAATGGTGGCTGCTATGGGCTGAAGGCAGGAGCAGTAACAGTCTCAGTTTTGCAAAGTAAAGAGTTCTGTTAATGGATGGTAGTAAGGGATGGGCACCACTGTGAATATCCTTAACACTACTGAACTGCACACTTAAACATGGTTACCGTGGCAGATTTCACGTCATGTATGTGGATTTTATCATAATTGAGAAAAAATGAAAAAAGACTGGCAAAGTCCCGTCTCTCTGCTGGTGGGGCCACTGAAAGCCTGGAGAGGCCTGAGGACACTCAGGACCCACAGAGGTCAACTTCTGTCTCTTGATATGACTACTCTGGCCACATCCGCGAGTGTCTCCAATGCTCTGACATACTGATTTTTCAAATAACAGCAGTAATTCATCAACTTGCCTGGGATGATGTACATTCTAATCTAATTAATATCTGGTAAATGAAGTGCTTTTCAGGGAAATGACAGGTATGACCTCCAAAAGGTCTTTGATTTCACAGATTCAAGGATTTTGTCAATTGTCCTCTGTGTTCTACATTCCAGAAATCATAGCAAGACAGACGATGAAAGGACAGGAAGGGAGGAGTAAGAAGGTCCTTCAAAAGAAGGTGAAGGGAAGGGGAAATGTGCTGCTGGTTACCTAGGAAATAAGGGCAGGACTACACGATTGGTTTCCTTTGGAACACAGTTTCAAGAAACAAATAGGCCCTGACAATGACAGTGTACACTGGCAATTTGGCAGCTGCTCTGCCCTTGTTTTCTTGGTATCTTCTACTAAAGAGCAAGAGACTGAATTCTGAATGGTTTTCTGGGAAGTTGTTCAATGGATTTTTTCTCACCCGCCTGCTGTCTTCCTCCTCATTCTAGTTAAACCTGCTTGAAAATCTAGCAGCCCACGTCTCCGCACAGTGCCCAGGCCGGCCAAGCCTGCTCCTCCCTCTCTTCCACTGCGTTGCACACAGACACAGACACACACACACATACACACACACACCCATCCTCACTCACCTCACTATTAGTGATAGAAACACACAGTGAAATGGGCCCTGCAGAACTCGCTGGGGCCTACGCACAGAGTCTACCCACCTAGGCTCAAATCCCCTTTCAGTTCCTCACTGTGCCGCCCTTCATCTTGGCCAGGCCTCCTGTGTCATGGAGACATGTGCCAGGAAACGCTGCAGGATGGATGTTCTCACTGTGACAGCCTGACGGCTGGGCATGAGGAAGCCCCTTTACAGGTGGAGAAGTGCAGAGAGGGTGATGCTTTGCCCAGAGTCACACAGCTACTCAGGGGCAGGGGGATTCAGACCCCCAACTTTTCAACGTTCAATCCCTGGCTCATTCAGAACACTGCTAGGCTTTGCAAGATCGGCCAGAAATAAGGCCGGGGTTCATGTCGTTCTAGCAGAGACTTCAAAAGAAAAGGCAAAACTGGAAGTCCAAACTCCGAGGGATCCCTCAATCCCGGCTGACCTGGCAGGTTCAAAGTCAATCCTGTTGCCTGCATCCCATGCCCTTGCTGGAATTCCAAGAAAAGAGCAGGCTTGGAAGGTCAGGCTGTGCGGTGAACGTCTACTTGTTCCACAGGCAAGAAAGAAAAGTCAAGCCCTATTGTGCATATGAGGAGCTCGAGTGATTCAGTCTCTTGACTCAGGCCCGCTTATTAAGTTATAGCTCTAAGTAAATCCAAAGAGAGACAGCTGTCCTTTCAGACAGAAGGGTGAGCTAAGAAATGAGCATGTACCCTGGGATGTTTGGCTTTGTGGGCAGAGGGAACATTTCTTTGGCTAGAGAGACGAAGACATCCCTCTTCTTCCTTTTAATATTCAATTTCTGTTCATTTAGGGCCCTGTGATTTCTTGGTTTGAAAATGAGTCACCCGTTACTTGGGGCCTGAGGGAAAGCAAATTTTCTGCCAACTGGGGATAGGAGTGGATGGATGGGGGTGCACACTCATTTCATACAACTTCCTCGTCTGGGCTTAAATGTGGAGGAGGTGTGAGTTCTGGGTGCTGCATTTGAGAAAGACAGAGTAATGCGACATTCAAACATGGTCGGGGCAGGCTGTGCCTTGTGACCACATGCCCTTTTTACTCCTGTATTTACTACTAGAATGGGGGCGGCAGAGATGAAGGATTCGCATCGGCACTTTGTTACTTAGAGTCACCTATGTCAGTCTGCTATAACTACTTTCTAGATCCAGAGATGATGCAAAAAGCTTGCTAGGAAAAAATTCAACATAAAGAGAAAAAAGCTGCAGATCCACCTTGACCCAGGAAGAGAGAAGACAACCCCAAGACAGGTGGGGAGTACCCAGAAAACAGTGCAGCCTTTTGGTGGTGGGGGATCCTGCTGTTTCTGCTGGCCCAGCACCCATGCCCTGTGCCTCTGACACCTGCCCCTCAGAGTTCACTGAAGGAGCCACTGTATGGTAGACACATGACCCAGGCCTGGCCCACTGGGCCACAGCAATTCACAGCTGCAGGGCCTTGTCCAAAGCCAGACTCAGATGAAGCACAGTATACTACCATCTGCACCTCGAAATATGATAATACCCGAGATCACAGATACAACTCAGCAAGTTCCAGAATACAAGTGCTATTACCCAGTGGAGCAGGTCTGTGAAAGCTGTTTATCTATGGTGAGCTGAGTGCAAAGACAACAGGCCAATTGTATTTTGAAACAATGAATATGTTCAAGAAATTAGGAAGGTACCACAAAGGCTGAGGGTCACTGAGAGTCACATTTACTCAAGCTCTGAAGTCAGTACCAGCTGCTCAAGCAAAGACTCTGGAGAAATTCCCAGGCCCTGGTTGGCATAATCTTGCCTGAAAACCCCGCTTCTGGAGGCTAGTGAAAGGTCCTCCCTTGCCCCTGCACAGGGCAGCACGGCTTGGCACCAGGTAGCACCATCCAACCTCAGCGAAACTGCAGCCTGGCTGAGCTGGCTTGCAGCCCCCCTGCTCCAGGACTGGACTGCCAGGCTGACCAACTGGTTATGTTTTGGGGACCAAGCCTGTGCTGTCCATTCCACTGTTAGTCACAGCTGAAACATGGCTGGAGTCCTTAAAAGGACTGGAACAAAAGCAGCGGCATCTTCCAAGACAAAATTGATAAGATCACAGTGTTCAAAACGAGGTGAAGATGTCCGTGTTTTCCTCAGCATAGCTATACAGTGGCTAAACGTGGGATTTAGGCAGATACTTCCTTCCAAGGTAACAAAAAACCCAAAATGACCTAAATAAACAAATACACATGACTTACCTTGTGTTTGTCCCTCAACCTCCCCACCAAAGTGATATTTGTTGGCAAAGGTTTTCCAGGCCAAAAATGAATTCCTAAACCAAAATGCTTACTGTGCACTTTGAACAGAAATAAAAGCAGTCTAGAGATCCAGCCTTGGAAATGAGCCTGAGTGGCACTGCACACCAGGGCGCTATTTTAGTTGCGCTCACTGACATGCGATTGTGACATTCATGAACAACTGCAAAGAAAATCACGAGGCCAGTGAGATGCGGGTGGGAAAGTGCACTCCGCATTGCTCTTCAGGGAGGGGCTCCGAGTTGCAGCTTCAGACACCCCGGACTGGAAGCTTACACAGTTCTGGCTCATGGGACTGGGGCTGCAGAGTTGGCCACTGCCGGCCCAGGGCCCAGGGGGCTGGATGGCAGTGTGCCCCACACTGGGCTGCTGAGGAGAGGCTACACTCATTCCAGGTGGGGCTAGACCGTCCCTCCAGGAAGCAGAGCCCCACTACCACCAAGCAGAGTCCCCAGCATCACTTCTCCCACCCCCACATCTGGGGCTGTAGCCAGAGGCCCCATCTGTGGTGGCTGTGAGCCTGGACCATGACATGAGCAACTGGCTGATTCAAGTGTGTCTAATCCCAGAGCAAATGCTCTCCAGCTCAAGAAGGTTTAGCATCTACATAAGGGGGTGAAGAAAGCAAGGTGAATCATTCCTGGCCCAGGCAAAGGAAGCAGGAAGGGCTCTGCTTACCAAGCGTATGATATACCACATATAAGTGTACCTCACTCCAAACAAATGGGACTTCTCAAAGCTCCCCATGGAAGTTTCTGGAGGGTTGTATGACTCCTAAAACCTATAACCTATCAAAGCACATAATTTCTTTAACCACAAACCCCTCTTTTTCCCACAGTATATTGGACCCAAATCATAATCCCAAGGTATTGGGAGTAAGAATGACAGCAATAATGATGAAGATGATGGTAATAATATTAGTGACAGTAGTAGGAACAAATACAGCATTTACCTTGGGTCAGATACTGCTTGAGCAGGCTAGATGCATTTTCACCGGATCCCCCAGTAACACTACCAAGTGGGCACTACTTGTGGAGCCTTGCTCCAGGTCACACATCCAACAAGGGTGGGACCTGTCCTGGGTCCACAGTGACAGCCCACAGCTACCTATGAATGGCTGGACTGTCCAGAATGAGGTACACTGGTGGGCATCAGGAGTGAACAGAAGTAGGACAGAGGACAGGACAGCAGCCTTGCTGGCTGGGGAGGGTGTGGTTGCAGGGTACACTCACCTTCACTCTCCCCACTCGTCTTCACGCCTTTTGAACCACCCTCTGTACCTTTAGCCTTCTCGGTGTCTTCCTGGGCATCCTCGGCAGGCCCTTTCTCCTCATCTTCTTCCTCCCCAACGTTTTTGTAGTTGGGTCTCTTTTGCACCCGCCTCTTGCCCTTGTGCTTGTTCATCTCAAGGGACCGCTCGAGCGTCTCGGTGGGTTTAATAAAGCACCGAATGCTGGGCTTGGCCTGAGAAGTCCGAGAAAGGCAACAGATAATTGGAATGCTACAATCTCACTAGATGCCAGCAAGCTGCCCAACAGTTTCTGCCAAGGAAATTCACCTTGAAAACAACAAATGCTGGTTTAGATTTAAGACCATCACTAACATCATTAGCATAAAATAACCAAAGCAGCAACACCAGCTACCATTTGTTGCTAAGTCAGAAATACTGTATTTTACTGTACCAGCTCTTTGTTCCCCAAACACTAGTTGTTTACATAGGAAAAATGCTTCTACATGATGTTTTTATATACCTTATGTGTGCTACCTGCCGATCTATGGGCTTTAAGCATATCATCTCATTTGAACTCTGTTGCAGTCCCACAAGCTAGTACGGCTCTTGTCCTCAATTTTTAGATAAAGAAGTCAAACCTCAGGAGCACTAAATGAACTGTCTGATGTTGGACAGCCAGGAGATGGCAGAGGTGGGACTCAAACCCACACGTCACCTGTACAATCTGCATCTCAACCACAGTACACTGATATTATTATTATTAACTCTTAAATTCATTTCAAAAGAAATTGTGCATCACTACAATAAAAAGAACACCAAGGTGCCTTGCTATATTATAAAAATAACAGAAAACAAGAAGCAAGATGTTCTGGACATAGCCACCTGCTGGGTGCTACAGTTTGATCTAAAACGTCCCCAAAATTCTCATGTGCTCAGAGGTCGGACTTTTGAAAGGTGGTGGCACCATGGGGATGCACTATGCTCATAGGTGGATTAATCTATTGCTGAGTAGATCAATCACATGGCTGAATGTGCTATGAGAAGTGGGGCCTGGTTGGAGGCGGATCACAGGGGCACGACCTATAAGGGTGTATCCTTGTCCCTGGCTCCTCTCTTCTCTCTCTGCTTCCCAGCTGCCATGGAGTGAGCAGCTGTCCTCCATCAGGCCCCTCCACAAAGCTGTTTCTGCCTTGGGGCCAGATGACCGTGGACTAAGCCCAGTGGAACTGTGAGCCAAAATAACCCTTCCTTCTTTTAAGTCACAAGTTGTTGGGTGTTTTGTTCCAGGAAGTCTCCTCAGAAGGTGATCCTGCTGAGCTTCAGGGATGGGCCAAAGATCAGCTTGTTCCACACAAAAGTTTATCCCTGGAAAAGCCAGAGGCCTCAGAGAACTGAAAATGGCCCCTGTCGCCTGTAGCTTACATCTCATATTCCTGGATCTCAGTCTTTCTAACAACCATGATAAACAGGAATTATCGATCCATTTCAGATTCAAGGAAACAAAGGCCCAGGAGAGCTGAGGGACTTGCTGAATGTAACTCAGCTAGTGAGCTGCAGAGCAAGCTTGTGAACTCCAAAGAGCAAGCTTTTCCTAAAATAACAGTGTTTCACCAGGCACTTAGACTAAGTTCCATACTTAGCAGTCTTTGAAAAGTATGCACACACTGCCATGTATGGTGGCTGTACTCCCGGCTCCTCGGGGGCCGAGGCACAAGAACTGCTTTGAGTCGAGAAATGTGAGACCAGCATGGGCAAAACAGTGAGACATATATATATATATATATAAAAAACCAAACCAACCACATATATACATGCAAATGGATCATGTCTAGAAAGAAGCAAAGACAAAAGGAAATTGATTTGTTTTGGGGCAGGATTTGATTGAAATGTTTATCTCTTTCCAGACTCTGGATAATGTTCAGACATCATTTTGTCATTAAAAAAAAAAAAAAAACTTTTAGAATAAACTTTTCCATTATCTTGATATGGATTATCTATCTCATGAATCTACCCTAAAGAACCACTATTTGTATTCTGGGGGCCACTGTACCTTGCCAATAAGTGGTATGTGCTCGAGGAACCCATTAATTTCAATAATGCTCAGAACAAAATGCAATTGAGACCTAAATTAGCATCCAATCCAAGCATTCATTTTTATTTACCTGTTTTGGATTATTCTACCGCAACAATGACAGATAAATTGAGACATTATGCTACTGTGCAGGAAACCCAGATAGTGCATTAGAGATGCCAACAACCCTGAGCTCGGGGACGAGGACATTCCAGCCTACGCTGCTTGACAGACAGCATCCATCAGAGCCCACTCAGGGTGCTGTATGATTGAACACAGCCAGCAAGTCAGGGCCCCAAGATGAAGTGACTCACTTCCTCCCATCACTGCCTATCCCAATGAATTAGAGCAGGCCACACAGTGATCGAAGCTCTCAGACACAGAAAACCAAAACCAAACACAGCAAAACACTGCCTAGTTAGAAGAGCAGAAATCCACACAGGTGGGGGGGAGAAACCTTTCCCAAAGCTCTTCTGACTTAGATGTTTACAGCACCTGGCAGAGTGGAGGGAAGTGAAACAAAAAGCTCAAGGCATGGGACATCAAAGAGCCTCTACCCTCGGCGCATGTCATTCTGGCTGCTTCAGACCAAATGCAATCATGGAATCTGGGCATGGTGGTTGTATCTACGAACCCTGTATGAGGAAAACTGAGGCCAGAGGATCACTTGAGTGCAGGAGTTCCCAACTGGCCTAGGCAATATAGAGAAACCCCCCACCCATGGGAGGAAGGAGGGAGGGAGGAAGAGATTATGTTCTTTCGGGGATGGAATGTAGTTTAGTACTTTCCTAGCGTGATCAAGGCCCCAGGTTTGATCCCCAGTGCAAGAAAAGGAAGAGAAGAGAGAAGAAAAGAGAAAAAAGAAAAAGAAGGGAAGGAGGGAAATCAAGAGAGATAGACTTCCTTCAGAGCATGAGGAAAGAGTGAGCATTCAACATATGACAGTTGTCTTCCTGTCTGCCTGCTTCCCAAAAGAAAAACCCAAAGGGGGAAAAAATCAACCATAAAAATGAATCTGAGTCAGGTGTGGCGGTGCATGCCAGTAATCCTAGCAATCAGGAAGCTGAAGCAGGAGGGTCACTGTGAGTTTAAGGCTAGCTCGGCCTACATAGCAAGACCCTGTCTCAAAAAACAAACAAGATCAGACATGATGCCACACACCTGTAATCTCAGCACTTGGGAGGCTGACCCAGGAGGATCACCATGAGTTTAAGGCCAGCATGGACTACATAGTGAGTTCAAGGCAAGCTTGAACTACAAAGTGAGACTCTGTCTCAAAAACAGACAAACAAATTTAAGAAAAAGGTATCTGCTTTTCTTAACCACCAGATGTCTGGGTAGAAGAGAGAAGGCATGCTTACTGGGAAAGTTCCAACCTTTAAAATGCAACCAATCCAATAAACAGGTGAAAATAATCTAGAGGCCCATCGATCAGGGAATGGTTAGGTATTCTGGTCCGTCTATTTGCAACATGGAAATCCACAGAGATGTTGGAAAGATTGTGGAGTTTTTTTATTGCTGGGTAGATTCATGCACCCAGAGGAAAAGCAAAAATAGTGCCTGCCACAGGGTCTCTTTTAGAAAAGGTTCCCAAGGGCTGTGATGCTGTGAATACCACTTTTCCTAGAAAGTGGTAAAAGAACATATTAGCAGTTCATCTTTGGAGAGAGAAAGGAGGCATGTGGCAAGGTGTACAATGGATAGCACACTTACTTTTTTTCTTGATTTCTAATCATTTATACTTATTAACTTTTTAAAAACTCAACAAGGATGAGTTGGACATGGGGCTTACGGGTAGTTTGTTTCTTTTCTATTTCAAAAATGGATTTTACCTTAATACCAGCATCATCAAAATACCAGTTACCAGAAAGAAGCTGGTGGAACTCAGCTGAGAAATAAGGGCAGAGATTTGCCACCACTCCTGCTAATCCTGCCAAAATCTTGGCTGCTGGCCTCCCAGAAATCTTCTATTACACCAGACCATCCAAGATATCCAGATGGAGGGTCCTTGGGCCCATGCAGAGCAGCGGCTCACCAGGCTGCTACTGGAGCTCAAGGCTGCAGAGGTGAGTGCCTGCGCCATTCCATATCCAAAGACAGAGAACAACAGATAAAGGAAAAGGATACAAAAGAGAACCAAACACCCCCAGGAGTTGAATCAATGAAACAGCAGCCCAGTGAAACTAACCAAAAGAAGTGGAGAAGCCCACTCTACAGTCAAAACTCAGACCTTTGGGTTTATCTTCTTGAAAAGAAAGCACACAATGTGTGCCCCTGATGAGAGGATTCTCCAAACAAGGTCCCCATCTCCCAAACACCAGAGGTTTGGGTTTCACCAAGGGCTCATCTCCCAGGGGCATGAGTGGGGCCGCGAGAAGGCATGGAGGTATGGGGTCTCCCTGCTGACTGTACTGGTTTGGTCAGGCATCTGCCTAGGAAACACTGGGGCCTGGAGCTCTGTGGCTGGAGTCTGGGCTAGCTTCTGGGGCCGGGGCCAGCTCAAAGTTGCAACAGAATTTTCAAGGGTGGCCTTAACTTTTTTCTCCTTTTTAGCACCTCCATGCTAGTTAATGCTGCCCTCCTCCAACCTGAGACTTTGGGCCTTGCTCTGGGGAAGGAGAAGCATTAGGGGTCAGCAATGACTGAGGCCTCTTGGGGAATGGGGGATCTGAGAGCAGGCTCTGCAAGGGTCGATGACAGGGTCAGGAGGGAAGATGATAAGCAAGGCCTGCATGCCTGGGTGGAGGAAGCAAAGCAGCTCCACTGATGAGATAAGGTCACACAGAATGTCCTTGTGAGGTCTGGGTGTGCCAGCTTAGTAGGACCTGGGCACAGGCTGCATATGAAGAGGAAGCTACAATCAATGATTTGGTTTTTTGTGTCAAAACATGGACATATATGTACATGAAATGTGCCAGCACTGATAGATACGTGCATGAAATAAATAGACAAAGGTCTGGAAGAGTACATTAACTGAAAACAAAGGTTCCCTCTGAGGAAGACACTGAGGTTTGGGGAACTTTCACTTTCTACACTGTCTGCATCAACATTAGGCAGCTGTGCTGCCCCAAGAAAGTACTACCAGTACCATTTAATTGTGAGCACATCTTGAAGAAGGAAGGTATTTAATGTCTGAACTGTACACTTAAAATGGTTAAGATG